GGCCGGCCGCAGTGCCGTCCCTCGCAGGCGGCGGGCGATGCCACGGCTGCGGTGGGTTTCTTGTTGGGGTGGTGGCACACGTGAGGTGCTGGCTGTAGGTCCTGGTTTGCAGCAGGGTCGCGGGAAGTGGTGTTGGCTGGAGATGTGACAATTTGGAACAACCCTGTCCGAGCTGGGCAGAGTTCAGAGGGTGTGGAGGGGGAGGGGGAAGAGAACGCTGATCCCAGGTTGTGTGCGGCCTCTGCTCAATGGCTGAAACTTTTTGCTTTGCACTAACACTCTGCACTAACACCTCTTCAACTCGTAGCTGGTTTTGTAAAGTCACCACTGTCTCAAAAGAGACTGACTCAGGACAGCGTGGAGTTGTACTGCGAGGCGATTGGCAATCCCATCCCTGAGATCCAGTGGTGGTTTGAGGGGAACGAGCCAAATGAGACCTGTGCTCAGCTCTGGGATGGCGCACGGCAGGACCGTGTCAAAATCAACGCCACCTACAACCGGCACTCCACCAGCACCATCCACATCGCAAACCTCACGAGCGACGACTCGGGCATGTACGAGTGCCGGGCCAGCAGCGACCCCGACCGCAACCACTTGTCGAAGAGCCCCAGAGTCAAGTGGATCCGTTCCCAGGCGAACGTTTTTGTCATCGAACGTGAGTGGCCACACTGAGGCCTTGGCACTTGCTCGGACACCAGTGTCTTGAGTCTCCTGCCATGCTCACCAAAACGCCCTTCGGCAGTCCCGAGTCCTTTTCCAGAGCCAAAGACCTGGAGCCTGCTGCTTATTCCCGAGTGCCTCCGAGTCCCCGTGCCGCTTGCGGAATCGAGAGTCTCGGTTCTGCGGTAGCCTCTGCCCTAACCACCGCTGACAAACCGGCCCTTCCCTCCCGCCCGTGCAGCTCCTGCTCCTGTCCACAGCCTTGCTTTAAGCTGCTGGTGATACAAGCTGTGGGGAGCAAAACCTGCTTTGAGTTTCCTGAGATGCACCCGTTTTTGAAGTGGCCGTGTCTGTGTGCGACTGAGTGTGGGGTGATCCTTGTCCCGCGGAAGCGGCCGGATTCGCTCTGCTCGGAGGTGGCAGCCGAGCTGTGGAGCGGGCAGGAGGCTGCTCCGAGCGGTAGGAACCCGGGCGGTGTGAGGGAGTTCAGCACCCTGCTAGGGTCTCACCGTGAATGCTGAGGCTGGCAGAGCAGCGCAGCAGTCCCTTCAGCATAAACGTGCTAGGGAATACCGGACTCCAAACCTGCTTCCACTGGAATCTGGGTAGGAGGAGGAGCAAAATGCCTGTCAGCCCTGTGCAAACATTGTTCGAGAGACTGAGGCTGGGTGGAAGGGTAGGAACCGTGGTGCTGCCGGGGCTGTGTAATGGGGCTGCCTCCTACAAGTAGAAAAGCCTGAGTCATCTTGTCTTGCATAATTTACTGCTGCTTGGCTTGTGGAGGCCCAGGACGTTTTGGAGTCCTGGTTCTGTGTTCTCCCTGGGGTAAATCTGACTGTAACCTCTTGGGCTGCAGCAGACGATGCACGCGTCGCTCGCACCAGGTCTGGATTGCTGCCCCTCACGACGGAGGGCCTGGCTGCCATCGGTTGCGTCACCTGGAGGCGTCTGCATCTGCTCAGGTTCTGGGAGTTGTTGACAGAGCGAGTGCTGTAGTGGCTCGTAAAAGGAGAGAGCTGTGCTCCTGTAACTGCCCTTCACAGTGTGACCTTTTCCACTGCTTATTGAGCTCTGCTGGAGCTGCACGCGTTGGGGGACAGCAGGAGGCTCAAAACCGCCCCGAGCACGTGGCAGCGATCCTGCTCGTGGTGGGAGCCGCCGCCGGGTCGTGTCCGTTATCGGTAGGCGCAGGCAGCCCCGGGTGCCTGGTTTTCGAGTCTCTCCTGTGCTTGTATTATCAGTTCTGGTAGGAAACTGCTTGCAATGGTAAGTGAAAGCTGTGACAGAGACAAGGAGCTGTGGGTCTGGGTCACATTAAAGGTTCTGGAGCAGGCAAATGACCTCTGGAATACCGCATGTTAACTTCAGTTGAATTATGTGCAAACACAGGCCCTGACATCAAAGCCCACGTAACTGGCGTTTCTGGGAAGCTGATGCTCACCTGCAACATGAGTGCACCGTACCCAGCCATCAGTGGCCACGAGTGGATGCATGGCGACAAGATACTGCACACGGACACGGACTCCAGTGCTTTCACCAGTTACATGTGAGTGTCAGGGGCAAGGTCGGATCGGGATCTGAACACGGGATGGGTTTTTTACCAGATGCAGTTAATATATCCGATCGGCCGAGTCTAAAGCTACATGCTTGCAGTCGTGCTGATAATGTAGGCGTTTAAACCTTAGAACATGAGATAAGCAAAGTTTTGGTAAGGCTCAGCATTTTCTCCTTTATGGAGAAGAGGGCTCAAAAAGGAGGAGGAAGGGAAAGTTATATGCCACAAATATCCCCTCAGTAAGAGAAGTTCTGCTGCTTTGTATTTTTATGCAGGTGTTCAGCTGGGCTCGGTTGGTTTCTCGGGTGCAAGGTGCCATGTGCCTGCTGCCTGGCCTCTGCCCCGTCTGTCCACAGCGCTGGCATTGGTGTGCCAGAGCTGTTGTCTCTGAGGGACCTCAGGTCTGGGCAGGACATCAGCTCCCTGCTCCCTGAGGCCATTTCTGGAATGAGAGACCCCAGTGTGTTTGTCTCTGCCTTTGGGTTTTATCTACCTTGCCAAAGTCCAGCCCTTCTCCCAGAGCAAGCGGGGAGGTTGCCTGCAAGTTGTGGTCAGCGCTCAGAAGCTGTTTGCAGGGTGCAGCTGAGCAGAAGCAGGAATACCAGCCTTATTGTAGCAGTGCAGTCAGCTTTCCTTTTTGATTACAGTCAGGCCTGGCTGGCACTGACCCAGCAGCTGTACCGGCATCGTGTCCTTTTGTGTGGCAGTGCCGACGTGCCTGTCTCCCCATAGCAACAGGGAGCTGAACAAGGATTAAAGTATTTATAACCCAGCCTCCCTCGCGTGACCTCAATTCCTTAGCTGAGTGGTTTTTGGAAGTGGGAAGCGCCGTGCACAGCAGAACTGACAAACAGCCTGTTGTCCCCGTGCAGCCACGGGACTGAAGCTTCGCCTGCCCCTTCCCTCGCCTGGGTATTGCTAAGCTGGGGAATGAGATGTTTGTTGCAGTGCAGCGTAATCCACTAAATCTCATTGCAGCAGCTTTGCAAAGAGGAAAGTGGGAGAGTTCTCCCTACGCTTGGATCAGTCCAGGGGAACCCAGCCGGCGTGTTGCTTTGCCACTGCTTTGCCCTGTGTTTCAGTGGCCTTTCCTGCATGGGAGGAGTAGTCTTCCTCAGTCTGTTGTCCTGAGCTCCTTGCCCTGCCTCTTAGAGGTGAGCTGCAGGGCTGGCGTGTGGCCGTGTCCTGGGCTCTGCTCACCAGAGGACTTTCCTGCTGTGCTACAGATTCTGCTGGTTTTGCTCAGTAGGGTGTGATTTTTTTTAACGGGCCGTGGTCTGTGTGGAAGAGGGCAGAGCGTGGAGCTGGCTGCTCCTGAAGCGTACGTGTGGCGTGGTGCTCTCTGGTTTTCTTCCTCTGTACTAGCTAACAGTCTAGGTCTCCATTTTTTTCCCGTTGTAGAGGCCCTGATGACAGGAGTTCCCAGGGTTAGGGAGCGAAAGGTGCTGGTTTTCAGGAGTCATAAGACAATGTCTGCTTGATCTCTGACTTGGCAGACCCGTGTCAGACTTGGTGTGGGGGAAATCGTCCTCTGCCATCCCCAGTGCGTGGGGAGAGAAGGGTGGGGAGTTGGGTTGCAGTAGGTACGTGTTCCCTCTGATCTGGGGGGTACAATGCGGTGCAGTGTAAATGCTGGCCCTGGAATGGGAGAAATTCCCTGTGGAGGAGGTTGCTGCTGCTTGTGGGTGTCTGTTCCTGTGGGTTTAGAGTTTGGTGTCTGGGTAAGCTGGTTGTGCTGAATGCTCATCTGACATCCTGGGTTTTGGCAGAATTGAGGGGAAGATGGAAGAGCACTCTGGTGTCTATGAATGTGTCTACAAAACAAGCCCAGTGATCAGAGGACAAGTGAATATTTCAGGTACCTTCCTATGTTTGCCTCTGGGTCTGAGGAGGGGAGTGGGAAAGCTGTGATCTCCTGAGCGCTGTGCTGTGGTATCTCTTCAGCTGCTTGAGGAGCTGCTTCTAGCCCTCACCAACTGGGCTGCAGGGCTCCACGTGACTACTGCTGGGTTTGCTTGGGAGGGAGCTCCGTTTTGTCAGGCAGCTAAAGTGTCTGTAGGGTCAGCTCTTGGACCGTGCCTCGAATCGGCCTTCTGCTGTGTGTGGACATGTTCCCACAACAGTAATGGGAGAGGAATAATACCTGCTGGACAAATCTGAGCCTTTCCTGAGTCGGCTTGGCGTGCTTTCCCTTCTGAAAATGCCAAGCAATGGGCAAGCGGGGGGATGGACCCACTAATGCATTTCTTAGACTGAAGTCAAGCTGCATGGGTGACTTTGGTTCTGGCTAGGCAGGCTGCAGGGAGTACAAATCCTTGTCTCTTCTATAATAAAGTGTCTGGCTTTCTCTTTCTCTTGCCCTAGTTCCACCCCAAGTGGTGGCATATAAGAAGTCTGAGCATGGGAATGAGGGGGACACCGGTGTGCTGACCTGCAAGAATCCCTCTTTCCCCCCTGTCAGCTCTTGGGTCTGGTACAAAAACGGGCAAGAGGTAAGTGCTGTGGCTTGGTGCTGTTTCTCCCCTCCTGCCTACCCTGCCTCCCAGCAAAGAGGTGGAGGACCCCATCCCATCAGAACTGGCTGTTTCCGTGTAGCCGCCTCGGTGCCGCGGCACGGAGGACTTCGGTCGTGGCAAGCGAGCGGCTCCCCTCACGCCGGCACTGCCCTGAGAGCCGTCTGTCCTTCTCCCTCCCTCCAGCCCATCGTCAATGGTTCTGGTCGATACATCATTAAGTCCAGTGGCAACAAGACAGAGTTACGCATTCTCAAACTGAGTATTGAGGAGGATGCAGGTGACTACCACTGCAATGCCACCAACTCTGATGGCTTTGGTGGTGCTACCGTAAACCTGCGTGTACGCAGCCGCCTGGCAGCACTCTGGCCCTTCCTGGGTATTGTGGCAGAAGTCCTCGTTCTTGTCACCATCATCTTCATCTATGAGAAGAGGAGGAAGCCGGATGAGGTTCTTGATGGTAAGAAGTGCCTGGGGTTAAATCTTTCTGGGGAGACCAAGTAACTTGTAGGGTGCAGGCAAAACATTCTCGTAGAGAACTTGGAGTTTCCTTCATCAGCTGGGCGTTAATTTGAGGGCTGCTTCTCGGGGCATTTCTGGTAAAACCATGGTAATCTTTACCAGGCTACCTCAGCCTTGAAGCTGCAAGGAATGGTGCTGTTTCTGGCAGTCCTTCAGCAAGCTGTGTTTTGGATCTGGAGTCGGTGCAGGTCAGCCTGACCCTTGGTCTCGCTGCTTCCTCTGCACTTTGCTCAAGTGTTTCAAGCAAGTGTTGCTGGGACCAGGTTTTCTTTGGCAGTTAACATTCTGGAGAAGCTGATTTGTGAATAGGTGGTAGAGCTCTTCTGGTGCTGCAGGATCAGAGGACTGTGTCAGTGGCTCTGTAAGACCAGGCTTAGCTTAATTCAGGTTCAGTTCGTGGATCTGTTTTGGGTTCACACATGATGACCCTCCTGGGACTTCCTCAAAGCCTAGTGCTATCTTTAATCTGTTCTGGAAATACCAGCTCCTCCCTTTCCTTATCAGTAAGAATCTGCATTGTGTTAGCCCGGCTGCTCCTCCCTTATCTGATCCCGTTAACAATGAAGTGTAAATGCTCAGTATCCTTCCTGCTTGCCGGGTCAGGCCCCGGAGCCCTCTGCTAGGAACAGCAGGTCGGGCAGGCTGAGTGGGGTGAGGTGCAGCTGAGGGGCTAAAACCAAGTTTCCCTCCCCTGACTGCAGGGCTTGGGGAGCTCTACTCGAGGCAGTTGTACAAGCAGATGCTTTGTCCTCTGGCTCTCTTGGCTGGAAGGTGGATGTCTTCTTAAGGATGCGGTAGCTGCATCTTCCAGTAAAAACCATATAGCCTGTGTGCGTGTGATCTGGCTTCTGATGGCCTCAGCCTGGTCCAGACCGTGTTGAGTGCTGACCTGTCAGAGCTGCAGCAGATGCTTTGACAGACAGACAGAGCGTGTGTACTGAAGCGTCCTGATGCTCCTTGGCCAGAGCTTTTAAGCTCAGGCTCCCAAGTGCTTGTGTGTGAGATTGTGTATGCCTGCGGAACAGGTATGACACCAGCTTTATTCTTTCCTGCTGTGAAGTAGCTACCTCCCCCCAGAAGTCTTTGTGGCTTTGCCCCCCTTCAGAGGAGGCAGCAGTCAGGTGTTGCTGAGCCAGCTCAGACAGATGCTGCTGTTCTGTGGTTGTGACATGGCTGCTCCCTGTTGCCTGGGATGGAGAGGCTGGCTTGTGTGAGGTGTGATATCCTTGCTGGTGTTATCTTTCCACTCTTCCCTTCTCTGCTGCTGGCTGTCACCTCCAATGGTAAGTAGAAGATGGTTCCAGATGTGTTTCTGCATCTGTCCTCTCACCAGCTGTATGCGATGCCCGAGGCAGTCCCGGTGCCCGGAGCGTGGGCCCCGGCGCTGTTGGAGGGGAGCCCGGACTGTGGACGAGATGATGGGGAGCCTTCTGTTGGAAGGTGGCAGATTGCAAGGAGCTGGTGAAAGGCCCCAGGGCTTGGCACACCCTGGCAGAGATGTTTTCTTAGCTGTGGTTCTTGGTGTAGCAAGAATGTGGTGTGCAGTGTGTTTGTTTTGATTTCACAAAACATACGGGGAGGAAGGAGATGCTTAACGCCCCGTTCCCAGAACATCCCCTTTGGATTTCCCTTTGTGCTCAGGTCTGGGAGCCGTCTGCGTTAGTGGTGCTGCTGGGGGGGGAGAGCTGCGGGTGGGGGGGTGTCCCTGTGTACCTCCACTTCTGTGGCTGCCTGGGGCAGTCTCTGGTGTGCCCTGGGGTGGGTTCAGGAGGGGCCAGCGCTGGCCCCTGCGGATGGTCGGGGTGGGGCTGGCACTTGGTTGCCCTGCGAGCCGAGCCTGCCCTGTGCCAGCAGAAGCAACTGCGTAACAGGAGCTTATGTCTAAGTTTGTGCCTTGTCTAAGCTTAGACAAGAAGCAGCTTAAGACTCACGTGGGGGGTGGTGGTGTTCTGGTAAGCGGCAGCCGCTGCTCTGCCAGGCCCCGGCGAAGCAGGAGCCCGGCGGGTGAGATGACCTGTTGGCTTCAGTCCCGTGCAGGCAGTAGGACCCAGTGTACCCAGTAACCTGTCTGGAATGCCGGTTCCTGGAGTTTGAAGGGGTGACAGATTATTGCTTACATGCCCTTCCCTGACACTGTTCTCTCTTTCTGTGCTGTCCCGCATGTGAAGATGACGATGGAGGTTCTGCACCACTGTAAGTACCTTGCTTTTTCCTATTTAGCCAGATTTGTGCTGGTGGGTCACATCCCTCCAGGGAATCGACTCAGTATAAAAGCGAGCTGGTGTGGGAAGAACACCCCAGCGTGCTGGGCGGGGGACTTTCCCCCATGGCTCATCTGAGCTGGCCTCTGTATAAACCCCATGTAACTGGGGGTGGCACCAGTGTCCCCAGAACTGACACTCCTCTGGTAACCAGTCTCTCCTGATCTTGACCACCTGTATGGACCCGAATTACATCAGTGGGCGGGCTGGGGCTTTGTGCCTTTTCTTTCCTCACTGCCCCTTTTCTGTTCCCAGGAAAAGCAACGCCACAAACCACAAGGACAAGAATGTCCGCCAGAGAAACGCGAACTAAGAGCAGGGGCCAGGTGAGTGCGGCGCCGGGGGAGGGACGCAGCTGGGCACCGCTGCTGGGCCCGGCTGTCACCTCCTCGCAGCCCCTGGGTTCTGCTCGGGGCTCTTCACCCC